CTCCTCATTTTTTGCAGGTTCTTTTCTGCTTTGTTGCTGCGATAAAAATATTAACTGACTTTGCAACTCAGATCTCCTTAATATATGATTTTTTAAAGTTCTGCTCAGGATTTTTTTTTTTGAAAGGAGGGGAGGTTATTAGGGGGGTTAGAGGTAGTGATAGTGATGAGAAAAAAAAGCAGAAAAGAAGAAATATTGTTTTTTTTAATGCATAGAAGAGAATAAAAGGAACTCTAGAGAGATACAAACAATCCAGCCAACTTTGAAACTGTGTTAAATTGATCATATTCTTTAAAAAAATACAGCTAAAGGGGCAGCTAGGTGGCGCAGTGGATAGAACACTGGCCCTGAAGTCAGGAGGACCTGAGTTCAAATGCGGCCCCAGACCAGACACTTGACACATAATACCTGTGTGACCTTGGGCAAGTCACTTAACCCTGATTGCCTCACTAAAAAAAAAAAAAATACAGCTAAATAAATAATAAAAAAGAATGCACAATAAAATATATCCTCCAAAGCTGAAAAAAGAGAACATTTGCTCAATTTGTTTATTATGTTTTGGGCTTATTTGGAGGATTCTCTGCTTGAATATTAAAATTTGACTTGTCCATTTAGGTTATTTATTTTCTTGTCACTAGTATTGTTTTAGGTGTTTGGGTCTGTGGAGTAGTCTTTAAGTATCTATGTTACTACAACTCATCTTTCTACTTCCTCTATCCCTTTCTTCAAAATCAATGTTGTTTATTAATCTTTCAAATAACGAAATAAATTTAGGGATTTAGCTATTTGACAATATCTATAATGAGCTGTGAAAGTAAAAAAGGATCCATTTAAGTAACAATTACGTGACAAGTCAGTATTATTTTGGAAGAATTTCATCAAAAAAATAAAATAACATTTTTTGGACACTAAAAGAGGAAATATAATACCAAAATGAACTGATAAACCAGTGTGAAATAAAGGAAGACAATAAAACTGCTTTATATAAACTGATAAAAGGGTATAAATGAAAGTGAATTAAATTTCCATAAACCAGATCTAGACACTTTACTGTTTTTTCCACTGCATAAAAGGACAAAACAGTCTGGCAATAAAGAGACAGATCTAACAGATGTTTCACAACTGAATGGCTTCATCAGTTTACTTCTCTTGGTTCTATTAAGGTAATGAACCAATGTCTCGTTGCTTACAGTCTAGGTGATGATGCTTTAATCTCAGATTTGAGCCTTGTAAAACCTGAGTTTGTACTGCCTAGTGTGGGAATTTGTTTTAGCCTGAAAGCTCCGTTAGGGGGAAAAAAAATTCTTTCTTTAGAAAATATGTTCACATTGCCCCAGTAGGTCCTATGAGTAATTAGTGTTTGTATTTATTTCATAAAGAATAGCTATAGCTAGTATCTTAACATTTATATAGCACTTACTATGTACCTGGCACTGTGCTAAAACTTGCTTAGGGTCATGTAGCTAGAAAGTGTCCGAGGTTACATTTGAATTCAGGTCTTTCTGATTCCAGGCCCATCCTCTGTCCATTTGCCATCTAGTTGCCCCTCTACCCTCTGTTTTAAAACCTATCAAAATCAAATATTGAACATCTGTACTGATAAACTGTCAAGACTACATGCGAAATAAATTGAAAGGTTAGCTTTGCTATATGAAAATTAACTTTATGAGTTCATTATGTAGCTTACAAACCTTTCCATTCTCACACCTGCCCTTATTATTAATATTCACAGGGAAGCTTGAGTCTCCATCCTAAAAAAACCCTTTACATTTCTTCAAGCTTTCATCCTTTGACCTGTCTGCCATCCTAGGTCATTAACATTCTCAGTTGCCATATCTACATCTTTACTTAGTTACCCACAGGTTGTGATTGTATCTTACACACCTCATCATCATCCAAATTTTTTCCAAGATTTTGAACTCTGAAATTCTCCTTTCTGCTCACAGTCTTCTGTCATTCTGTTCCTCTCAGTCTACTTATTTGTCCTAAACTTATTCTTTATCTTCATCCTCCTCTTTTCTCTCAGCTCATCATCTTTATTCTGCCATTCTGGTCTCATTTCTGCCCTTCACTCTCTCAACCCTATCATTAATTGATTCAACAAGACACTGTCCTCCACCCTTGACTTCCTTGATCCTTTATCTTTTCAGCATCTCAAAAAAAGGAAAACACTAGGCCAATGGAGAGAATGATCCAAGGTAAAAGATTGACAGAATACTGAAAAAATAATGACTGGATCTGTTATAAATTCACATTATCTAACCTTAATTGGGCCCTGATGGCTATATTATAATCATTATTCATCTCTATCAAAGTCCCCAAAGAAGCTATTCCAAACTTCCTATATTCTCAAGCCACTGATAACCATTTCTGTATCTCTCTACTTAACCCTGCTTCCTACTTGGCTGAGAAAATCAAGATCATGCATAATGACTTCCCTCATCTCCCAGTTCTGGACCTCAGAAAGTTTCTACCAAGAAAGCTGTTTTTAATAAATAGGCACTTGTGATTTCACATATAATAGTCTATTTTGTTCTACTTTGTACATGGAAATATAGTCAGGCTTTTTTTTGGGAGGGGGGTGTTTAAATTCAGAATTCAAAAAAATTATCCAAAGCAATCAAAACCGTTCTAGCCCTCACCAAACTTCTCTTCTTTTACTAAAGTCCCAGGGAATGAAGTGATCCTTTACTTTTCCTTTACCTTTCTCTTAGTAGAGTGCCTGGTCCATACGAAACATTTAATAAATATTTGTTGACTGTCTGACTGGCTTTTCCAGGGTTTACCCGTTCTACTGCATCCTTTTTCTTTCTGCCTTGGTTTATCTTCCTGTCTGCTGGCTTTTTTTTCACTGTCCACAAATAAGCCCACATTTCTCCTTATCCTTAAAACAATAAAAACCTTCCTACCCTTTCAAGTTTTATCCTATGTCTTTTTTCTCTTTCGTTGTGAAACTTGTGAAACATTGTGAAATCTTTTTAGGACTGTTTGCTTCCTCCTCTTCCTTTACGCCCCCCCCCCCCCCTTTTCAGCACCCTATAATCTAGCCTAATCCTCCAATGAAACTTTGTCTCAGAAGTTAGTGGGGATGTCTTAACTGCTAAATCCCGTTGTATTTGTTGAGTCCTCACTCTTCCTTCCTAGATTACTATGACTCTGCTCTCAGTCCTTTGCTTACTGTCTTCTGCCACTGCTTCTGTCTTCCTTGTTGGATCATCATCCATCTTCCACCAAGGTTAGGTGTCTGCCAGGGTAGACAATGGATTGTTCTTACAGACATTAACTATTGTACTGCTCCTCAGTAGCTGTTGAGGTCTGTAGAGTTTTGTGCCCTTGAGCAACTCTGCGTATTCAGTTCTTGTTCTTTTTTTTTTTTTCGTGGCCTTTTCCCCCTGTTCTTTGCCATATCAGTAAGTGGTGATTTCTTGCTGATGTCAGAGTTCCTACCTATAATAGAATCTCTCCTAAACTGTTCATTTCAGTTAGTTGTGACTTTGAAACAAGATCATGACCTTGTTAGAATTATGTGTAAAGCAAAAGTAAAAAAAAAACTGAGTGTGGGCTTGAGGTCCCCCTTGTCCCTTGAATAAAATAGATTCTGTAGCTTCTCTTTGGATTTTCCTTCTGTATTTCTTGGCTATTTTCCAGATGGGTGAGGTTGCTTGTTAGCTGAGTTCCAGGTAAATGGAGTGTATCTTAATTATCACCTCTGGCATAGCAACAAAATGTGAAATTTTTCAGAAAGAAAATGAGTAGAAACTGAGGTTGTTGATGATCTTGATTTGTAGTCTCAGCCATGATATTTGTTACTGAATTGATATTTGTAGTTTAGATTTGATTTACTAATCTGTTAGGCAGATTTGATTATATTTAAAAATGTAAGTTTTGTCAGTATATGTTCTTTGTGGCTGCTTTAGGCAGAGAGGTCTCACACTCAGAAATCTGATACAAAAGTCTGTTCAAAAACTGAGATCTGACTGGTCCTGATAACAGAAATCTCCCGGAAGAAAAGATGTATTGTAAACAACTGTATTTGGTGTTTTTTTTTAAATTTTAAATTAGAATGAAAAGATTGTTCATATTACCCATAACTGTGGGTGTACCTGAAGACGGATGTGTCTTAGGCTTTCTCTAGCAGTATTCTCTCTATGAACTCAGCACCCAGGGGTTTAATTATCACCTTCTGCAGATGGCTCACAGATCTACCTCTCTAGCCTAAGTTTCTCTGTTGAGCTCCATTCCTAAACCACAAACTTAATATTGGACATTTCAAACTGATTATACCAGAGGCATCTTAAACTTAACATACCACGAATGGAACTCTTTCCATTTTTATGCACCAAGAAATTCTAGGTATTGAGAATACAAAGACAAAAATGAAACAGACCCTTCTCTTCAGGGAGCTTACATTCTACTGTAAGAGACTACACATACCCCCCCACACACACATACACACATTCTCTCTCTTTCACTCTCTCCATATGTATACATATATATGCACACACACACATATACACACATGTCTATACATATCCATCTATATGTATTAAGCTTTAATTGCTTAAAATTGCATGGAGACTTTTGAAACACCATATATATGTATACACACACATACATATATAGAATAGATACATAAAAAATGAATTTGGGATAGTGAGCAAGGGCACAAGCAGTTGGGGGATGAGATCAGAAAGAGCATCTTATAGATGGTGGTGTCAGAACTATGTTGTGAGATGGGGAACTCGATATGGTAGTTAAAAGTATGCTCTAAGTACGAGGGGCAGCCAATGCAAAGTCAGAGAGATGGAATATGAAGTGTTGTGTATAAGAAATTAAGATAAGGCCAGAACATAGTGTAGGAGTGTAATGGTTAATAAGTTAGAAAGACAGGTTACCTGGAATTTCTTGGTGTATAGTAGGAGCTTATTAAATGCTTTTTCATTGATATCTGATAAAGCAGATTTAGGACTTCACCTTGTTTAAACCTTTTTGTTTTTCAGCATTCTCACTTAAACCAATATGGATGTCTGCTGATCAGAAGCTAGAGAGCTACCTATTAGCATCAGATGGTGACTGCGTCTTACAATTTCTGTCCCTGTGTCTGAGGGAGATAGTCTGCGTGCTGTGGAAATGAACGGAGAACAGCAGCTTGACACAGGTATTAGTATCAACACTCTATTAAAGTGCTTTCTCTTGGTAACATTTATGATCAAATAGAGCCTAGATAGTGCAGTGTAATTTTTTTCCCTGTCTTTTGGCATATGATTATTGTACAGCATGGTGAATGAAAAGAGTCAGAATAGTATAGTAGAAGTACGCTTTTAATTCTTAGTAATTTTAAGGAAAATAGCAAAATAAACCTATACAGTACAAATAGCTATGTAATGAAAATAAGTTAAACTTTATATGCATCAGATGTGTTTTTCCTCTGGGAAAAGAAAATTTTTTGGGCATAAGAGCAAGTCAACCTACAGCAAGTATGTTATTTTACTATATTTTCCTCTTGTCCAATATAAAAATAATACAAATTGTTGTGTAGTGGAAAAGCCCTGGCATTGAAGTCAAGAGACCTGGGTTTGAATTTTAGCTCTGCCAATTAAACTCTGCTTCTATTCAGATCAGTCTCAAGTGGTTATGAGAATCTTTAATGTGTTTAATGTCAGTTTTAGTTATGAGTCTGCCATGGTTTAGTTAAACCAATTAGTTAGAATGCCTGTTTTTTGTCATCTCTCAGCTAGTGACACCAAATCCAGTTACTCCTTCCTCAGTGAATTAAGTGTCTGGTTCACATTCTTGCCCCACTCCTGCCCTCATCGAGACTCATAGTATTGTTCCCTCAGATACCCTAACTTCTCAATTACTTATTCTACGTAATTCACATGATGTACTCCTTCATTCCATTTCAGCATAGGCATGCTTCTTGCTCCTAACTACCTGCTTCTAGACTTTCTACACTACAACAATCACTTAGTACCTTTTCCTTCATTAAGAGTCACTGCATTCAAATGTAACTCCATATTTAAGTGCAGGTGACCATTTTCTGTCACCCCCCAGGTCATTCTTTCTCTTTTCTCATGGAGTTCAATGCCTGACTCAGTATTCATTTCTTTTCCATCCCTTACTCTTGTAATTGAGGACTTCAGTTGTCTTGCTTTCTGTGAGTTTACTGTCACTTCTGCAGTTACAAACAGGGGTGGTCATACGTTTAATCTCATTACCTGCAAGTGTTCCACCTCTATTATTCATAACTGAAATTCCTTATCTGACCATAGCCTCTTCTCCTTCTGTCTCTCACTATATTTTACCCATCCTAAACCTATTGTCTGCCTTAATCTTCTAGTCACTTTTTTCTCTCTTCCTTCTTTCTTGTGCCATCGTTCATGTTCTGGCCTCAATGTTTGTCTTCAGAGTCTTGACCTTTTAGTTAACTAGTTCAGCTTTACAAGGTTCTTTATCCTTGTATCTTCCTTGTCTTATTATCTGTGACTTTCAAGATTTCATCCTTGAATCACTCCCACCCCATCTACCTTCATTATTTCTGTTTTGTGCTGTATATCATTGGTGAGAAGTCATTTAACTGTGCTGACTGGGGCTACTATAAATATTATGTAATGTTAAGTATACTTTCATGTATGCGTCCCTGATATATTTAATCAAACCAACCATTTCATAAATATTTATTAGGCTCCTACTATGTGCCAGGCACTGTGTTAAGTGTTGGGAATAAAAAAAAAAAGGCAAAAGACTGTGCCTGCCCTCAAGGAGCTCATGCTCTAATGGAGGTGACAACAAACAATATACAAACTAAGCTATGTAAAGGATAAACAAGAAATAATTAACAGAGGAAAGGCACTAGAGTTGAGGAGTTAGAAAGGACTTTCTGTGGAAGATGGGATTTTGATTGGCACTTAAAAGAAGTCAGAGAAATCCAGTGAAGTTGAGGAGGGAGAGCATTCCAGGAATGGGGTAACAGCCAGAGAAAATGCCCAGGGCTGAAAGATGAAGTGTCTTCTTTGTGGAACACCCCCAGGAGGCCAGTCTTACTGGACTGAAGAGTTTGTGTCAGGGAGGAAGGTATAAGAAGACTAGAAAGGTAGGAGGGGGCTAGGTTATGAAGGGCTTTGGATGTCAAACAGAGCATTTTATATTTTATCCTGGAGGCAATAGGAAACCTCTGGAGTTTGAGTCAGGGTGGGTGGTGGTGGTGGCATGATTAGACCCAGTCTGTCTCACTTTGGTGGCTGAATGGAGGATTGATTGGAGTGGGGAGATTCTTAAGTTGGAACTCACCAGCAGCTTGCTCTTGCATGCTCCAGGTGTGAGGTGATGAGGGCCTACTCATACTCTCATAGAAGAGAAAGGGTCATTTTTTTGTTTGTTTGTGTGTTTGCTTGTTTTTGGAGAAGCAGTGGGGGTAAGTGACTTGCCCAGGGTCACACAGTTAGTAAGTGTTAAGGGTCTGAGGCCAGATTAGAACGCAGGTTCTCCTGACTCCAGCGGTGGTGCTGTATCCACTGCAGCACCTATCTGCTCCAAGAAAGGGTCATATTTGAGAGATGCTGTAAAGGACAGATTGACAAGATTGGATATGAAGAAAGAGATAGAGAAGAGTGAATGCTGACACCTGATTGGGAACCTGAGGGAGTGAGAGAGTGGTGGTCCTCTATATTGTGATAGGAAACATAGGAGAAGGGGTAGGTTTAGGGTAAAGATAATGAGTTCCACTTTGGACTTGCTGAGTTTAAGATATATACTGGATATCCATCTGAAAGACAATTGGAGATGCCGAATTGGAGATAGACTAGGACAGGATAGGTAGATTTGGGAATCATCAGCATAGAGATGGTAATTAAATCCATGAGAGCTGATGAGATCACCAAGTACAGTGGTGTAGAGAACTGAAGAGGGTCCCTGTGGGACACTGATGACTAGAGGGCGTGACCTGGAAGAAAATCCAGCAAAGGAAACTGAGAAGGAGTGTTCAGATGGGTAGGAGCAGAACAGGAGAGAGTGGTGTCCTAAAAATCTGGCGAGAAGAGAGTATCAAGGAGGAGAGAGTGATCAACTGTGTTATCTGTTGATGCTGCAGAGAGTTGAGAGTGAAAATTAAGAAAAGGCCGCTGGATTGATTCTCTGTCACCTTCTCTTGGCATCTGTTCAAACTTCCTCTTCTTTCCTAAAGTATCTAAACCACTCTTCTTCTCCCACCCCTTTTCCACTGCAGTCTCTCCCCTCTCCAGTCCATTCTCTACCCAGATGCTAAAGTGTTATTCCTAAAGCACCCGTTTGATCATGTTACTTTCCTGCTAAAGTAATTCCCATTGCCTCTAGGATAACATACAAACTCTTCTTTTTGACTTTTAAAGCCTTTAATTTTCTGCCTTCAGCCTACATTTCCAGGTTTATTGCATATTACTCACCTTCTTGCATTCCATGTTCCAGTCACACTGACCTATGCCTTTACACATGCTTTGAATAGTCTTCTTTCACCACCCACTACTTTTTAGTCTTTCTTTAAAGCTCAGCTCAAGTGCCATCTCCTTTAAGAAGTAGAGGTTGATCCTCTTGTTTGCCAATGTTTTCCCCCTGAAAATTGATTTGTATATATTTTGTATTTAATTTTCTGTGTTGTACATATTGTTTTCCCCAATAGAACATAAGCAGGAATGGTTTCATTTTTGTGCCTGTCTCATTGTGGGCGCTTAATAAATGCTTAATGAATGAATGAGAAGTTGCAGTTATCTCATGGAAGTATATTGTGGAAACCTGTGTTTCCATATGAAATATACTTTGTTTTTTATTGTGTTCAGTAAAAATGGATTTTGAATGTGTCTTACTCATTTGAACATGAAATTCAGAGATTTAAAGATTTTGGTTTTGGTCCAGATAGATGTTCATGACAAGAGTAGTTTTTTTTTTTTAACCAATTTTTTTCAACTATCAGATGAGTTAAATCAACCAGTTGTTGTGAAATGAACCTTTTTTCCCTCCAACTATATGTTAATGTGTTTATTCAGTTTCATTTTGGGAAACATGTTTCTGTAAGGGTAGTGCTTGCAGTTTTTAAAAACATTAATAATAGGTACCTGGTAATAATACTTTGGAACTGAGGCAGAGTAATCTGATAATAGAGTAAGTTAATAATTCTAATCTGAACTTCCAACCCAGGTCTTCTCACTTCTATTTCAGGCCTCTCATGGCATCTAAAAACATTTTATAACACTCTAAATAGTAACTACTTTAGGAGAAGACAACCTGCCTTAGAATTCGTACTTACTGTTTAACTATTAATACGTCTACTTTTTGGTAAAACAATTTATAAGTAATTGAACCTATAAGCCTAACAAAAATTAATACAGTTGGAGACTGGGTTTATAAATTACTGGGTATTTTAAAACCTAGACACCTTTTGAAATACATTTTCATTTATCAGAAATTGCCTTAGTATAGTTGAAGTATATCCATCCCCCTGAAAGCAGGGAGGTAGAATAGAGGCATTTTTAAATGTGCTCCCAATTCTAGGATTCTCTTTCATTGGATCCCTTTCTAATTAAGTGTATAGAGTTCCAGCTTTGAGATATTTTTTAATGATAACACCGTAACTCGGAGTTTCCTTGAATTATGCAAATAGTTTCCTAGTATTTAATTAGGTGTAAGTAAAAATTGGATAGGATTAATTCCAGCAGCACCTCTGTAGATGTGGATTAGTATAAGGCAAATCTGTAAAATCCCTGCAGTTAATAAAACCTACTTTGCAGAAAAGTAAGGAAAGAGTAGCTGGGAAATGTTGTGGGGAAATGTGTAGAACCCATTGGTTTTCTGTAGGGGGTTAAAATTATAAGGAAATTTCAAATAATCCTACCACTTTTAGTTTTGGATCTTGAAGATAGGGAGATTTCCAGGTAGCCCTAGAAATTACTGTACTGTGTACTTAGACCACTTTATAATGAATTTCACCTAGAGTTGATAATGTAAGAAATATTTATAATAAATATGTATCGTGTATTTTGGTTGTTTTATGCTGTATTTTCAAAATAAGCCTTATTTGTGCCTTTTAAAAAATATCACAGTTATTTCCTGATTTTGCCTTTGCTCATTTCTTGCAATATAAGAATCCCTTGGCTCACATGTAATAAAGAAAAATAGTTCAGCAAAAAT